CCATCGGGTTGCTCCCTGGATCAGTGCCGTGGCCTCCTCCCCAGTCTCCCTGCTTCCACCCGTGCTCTCTACAGCCTATTCTCAACACAACTGTCATTCTTTTAAAACCTGAGTTGAATCATGTCCCTCCTCTGTCCCATAACCTTTAGTGGCTCCCTGTCTCACGCAGAACAAAATCCAACAGCCTTACCACAGCCTACAAGGCCCTGCAGATTTGACCCCCATTACACCTCTGTCCTTGACATCTCCCACTGTGCTCCCTGGCTGCTCACTCAGTTCCAGTCTCCTAGCTAGTCTGTGAACATGGCATATTCTCTGGCCCCAGGGCCTTTGCACTTGCTTTTCCTCTGCCTGGAATGCCCTTCCCTCAGAAATCTGTGTGGCTCCCTCCTTCACCTCATTTAGGGCTTCACCTGGAGGATACCTTTTCAGTGAGGCCTTCCCTGACCACCTTTCCAAAAACAGCACCCTCAGCCCTCCCTATCACTCTTCCTGTTTTGTTTTTCTCTATTTTTTTTTTGTTTGTTAGAGCACTGTTTTCATTGCCCATCGATAATTTGGTTTTATTCTATAGCTAATTACGGGAACAATCCTATTAGAGAAAAACATTGAAAACTCTTGTGTAGTTAGGACTAAAGGTGATAGCCGAAAAAGGCTCACTGAGGAATATTTCAAAGTGTATAGTGATTTTATAACAGAGTTTGTGTTGAGTGAACAGTAACCACTTGCTCTGGAGAATTCCAATATGGTAATACGAATATTCCTTCAGGGTATGAGGTGAGGAGAGAGATTCGTACAAGTCATTATTCATTGCAATGGACAATGAATGTTGTCTACATGTTTTTCTCTAGTTTTTATGATAACACATCATCTAATGCGTGATGATGTTACTGATTTCATTCATCACCTCTTCACCAGCACTATTACTAGAATGAAAGCTTCATTTTTTTATCTTTCATATTTAGGCAGAGATTTTTGCCTATTTTGTTCATGTCTCTAGCTCTTATTCATGAATCAATGAGGGAATAATTGACTCTTTCCCCGATTAGCATGTGAGCTCTTTGAGGGAGGAAACTTTTATTTCTCCCCTAAATAAGTTAAATGTGAAGGTCTTAAAAGTGTGCCTAGGGGACTTCCCTGGTGATGCAGTGGTTAAGACTCCGTGCTCCAATGCAGGGGGCCTGGGTTCGATCCCTGGTCAGGGAACTAGATCCTATACGCATGCTGCAACTAAGAGTTCGCACATCACAACTGAGGAGCCCGCCTGCCGCAACTAAGACCCGGGGCAACCAAATAAATAAATAAATATTAAAATTAAAAAAAAGTGTGCCTAGTAATCAGTAGGGTTTGTTTAATAAAAGTTAGTAGTTGCCATCAACATCATCGTGATGTCATTTCCTCTGTATCCCAGGTGCCAGTATCAGGCCACCCAAGATGGCTGTTCTCTCGCTCTCTGTACATCCCCCGCTTGACCAGTCCCTGCTTTACCTACACCCTAGTCCGATGACTGACCTTCCCTCTTAATCGTAGAGCCTAATCAGCAAATGCCTACATACTTGCTCCCAGCCCCAGCTAGTGATTGCTCTAATCTTTAGATCAGAGCTATCTTCATTATGGTAGCTTATCAAAAGGGGGAGCCCCCTCTGCTGGTTACCCTGGTAACTGATGAGCCAACCTGACATCGATTCCCTCTCTAACTGGAACCTCCCTACCCCACCCCCACACCCTGCCCCGTGTAGCTCCAGGACCTTGCTTCAGATGTGTAAGATCCCCCATCTATTAAACCATTAATGCCTCTATCAATGACTCCAGGCTCTCTCTTTGGTCTTGAGGCCGGGCAATTACAGGGCTTGCAGGCCTGCGGATGCAGCCCAATACCAGGTAAACACAAAACAGGTGCTACTGAACAAAAGGATGAATGAGGACCTTAGGCCCCCTTGTACCTTCCAGGGAGGCCACAGGGGAACTTCCATCCTTCTAGCTATAGGGCTGGGCCCAGGAGGCAGAGTTAGGGCCCAGAGACCCTGGAAGAGCATTGCACGGGGTGGCAGCCGTTTACTCTAACGATTATTGTGCACTTACTTTGTGCCAGGCCCTGAGATCACAAAGATGATTTGGACCTGGCCCCAGTCCTTGAAAAACTGAGAGTAACAGAGAGAGGGGCGAGTTAAACTTTCACATGCAGGAGTGGGATGGGGAGGGAGAGGCAGAAGCTGGAAAGGCTCCCAGAGAAAGGAAAGTTGAACTGAATGTGAAAGGATGAGAACAAGTGACCCAGGTGAAGGAGGGAGGAGCGCATGTTCTTCCTCTCTGGTCCTCAGTCTCCCCATTTACCCCTCGAAAGTGCTGGATCAGACAACTTTCAAGGCTCCTCTGGCCTCCGACATGCTGCAACTCTATGATCTTTGGCCTCTGGACCCTGGACCTGTGCTCAGGTTTCTACTGCCCCCTGTTGGAAATTTTTGGTAACACTGGAGTCAGGAAAAGCAACGCCCAACCTTGCCTTCTCCTTTCCTTCCTTCCCCAAAGTGAGCAGCACCATCCAATCCGCGCCTTCCCTTCACCTTCCACCTCTCAAAGTAGCAAACTAAACAACACCTGCTTGTATGTCAAATAGAGAATATTCTCAACACATTTTTAAAAATAAATTTTAATAATGGTTATGTGTTTTTTTGTTTTGGGTTTTTTGCGTTATGCGGGCCTCTCACTGTTGTGGCCTCTCCCGCTGCGGAGCACAGGCTCCGGACGCGCAGGCTCAGCGGCCATGGCTCACGGGCCCAGCCGCTCCGCGGCATGTGGGATCTTCCCGGACCGGGGCACGAACCCGCGTCCCCTGCATCGGCAGGCGGACCCTCAACCACGGCGCCACCAGGGAAGCCCGGTTATGTTTTTTTTAATTAATTAATTAATTAATTAATTTACTTTTGGCTGCGCTGGATCGCCATTGCTACATGCGCGGGCTTTCTCTAGTTGCGGCCAGCGGGAGTTACTTTTCCTAGCGGTGCGTTGGCTTCTCTATTGCGGAGCATGTGCTCTAGGCAGTGGACTTCAGAAGTTGTGGCACATGGGCTTAGTTGCTCTGCGGCATGTGGGATCTTCCTGGACCAGGGCTCGAACCTGTGTCCCTTGCATTGGCAGGCGGATTCTTAACCACTGCACCACCAGGGAAGTCCCTCAACACATATTTTTGACAAAGGTCTTGAAGCCAGAATACATGAAGCATTCATAACTGTTATAACCCAGCAATCCCACTTATTTTTTTAAAAGAGAATATTCATTTGGCTGTGCCGGGTCTTAGGTGCGGCACGCGGGATCTTCAGTTGTGGCACAAAGGATCTTTAGTTGCGTCATGCGAACTCTTAGTTGTGGCATGTGGGATCTACTTCCTTGATCAGGGATGGAACCCAGGCCCCCTGCATTGGGAGGACGGAGGCTTATCCACTGCACCAGCAGGGAAGTCCCCCCACTTCTAAGTAGAACTGGAAAAAACTCAATGCCCATCTACTCATGTAAACACAAATTGTAATATATCCATACAATGGAATACCACTCGGTGATAAGCAAGGAATGAAAGCCTTATGGTAAATGAAAGAAGCCAGACGTAAACGAGTCCATATTGTATAAGTCCATTTATACGAAATTCTAGAACAAAAAATCTACAGTGACAGCAGATCAGAGATTTCATAGGGCTGGGGTTCGGGAGCGAGGATGGAGTAGTGGGTGGGGCGTTATCTGCAAAGGGGCACAAGAGAAGTTTGGGGAGAGGAAAATGTTAAAAAAATTTTTTTTAAATTGGGTGGTGGTTACACAGATGAACACATTTGTCAAAACTCATCAAACTTGGGGGAAGTTCCCTGGTGGTCTAGTGGTTAGGCCTCGGTGCTTTCACTGCCCTGGCCGGGGTTCAGTTCCTGGTCAGGGAACTAAGATCCCACAATACCCATGGCATGCCCAAAACAAACAAACAAAAAACAAAACTGCATCAAATGAGGACATCGAACTAAGTGAACAAGCCAGACACATACTGTAAGGACAAATATTGTGTGATTCCAGTTATGTGAAGTACCTAGAGTAGTCAAATTCATGGAGGTAGAGAGTAGAATAGAGGGGTTGGGGGAGGAGGAATGGGGAGTTACAGTTTAATGGGTACAGAGTTTCAGTTGGGGATAATGAAAAAGTTATGGAAATGGATCGTGGTGGTGGTTGAACAATATG